CCCGTGACTTGGTGCCCACATTCCTGTTGAGATAGTGGTTACTAAACTAATAAGTACCATGCTGACTGCAAGCTTGTGGGCCTGCCTAGTCCCTTCCCTATGGGGCTTGCCCTGAGCTGCTGCCCAGGTGTCCCAGAAGGAGAGTCCTGGCCACCCAGGTGCCTATGGTTGGATTGTCTTCTCACCTCCAGCACTATCTCCCTACACATGGCCCCCACCCCTGAGCCCACTGGCATCTTCAAGAACCAGAGTAAGTCCTTCTAACAGCCCCAAGTGTGCTTGAACCAAGGCCAAGGCCACACCCACAAGCCTAGTACCAGGCTTTGGGGGTCAGATGGGAGCTAAGGAAAGAGAGGGACAACCTAGGGCAGGGGTCCTCAAACTTTTTAAATAGGGGGCCAGTTCACTGTCTCTCAGACCGTTGGAGGGCCAGACTGCGGGCCCTGGGATGAGTCAACTGCTAAGCAGGACAGACAGCGGGGCCAAAAACACCCAGCGGCCTGCGGGCAATAATTTGAGGACTCCTGACATAGGGACAAGGATGTTTGGGGCAGCCATCATGCTTCACCCCTCTCCATAGAAATTTGTCTAGATGGCAGCATGAAACATATGTCTGTGTGCTCAGATATATCTGGGTTGCTGTGTGTCCCTCTGGGTTGCTCCTGCTAAGGGTCAGAAGGCAACTGGATGTGGGGTGGGGGTAAGTCCTATAAAGAGCAGGGGAGGGGGCCTCCCAACTGCTGGTGGGTGGTGTGGGCCTGGGGGGATGAAGCCACTCAGCCCTCTCCATTGGGGGTCCCTCACACCATCTACACTTTTCCCCATGTCAAGCACAGTAGGGACCAATTCAAAATCACCACCTATGACCTGGCCAAGTTCCAGGCTCTCAGCAAGGGGAGGAGGCTACCAGATGGAGGTTCTAGGGCAGAGGTGGAGCAAAGTTAGCAGTGAGTGGGGGGCTTTCCTGGGCTAGGCCTGCTCTGCCTGCTCTGGGGGCCGCCATCCGGGCTGGGCTATTTTAGGTCTGAGCAAAAGAGGCTGAGACGTCAGAGCAGCTGGTAACCGAGTTTTCCTTTGTTCTTACAAATGAGGCACCCTCCTCCGCTCCTCAGAACCCCTCTTCCGCACTATACCCTACTCACATTCTACTTGGGAGGTGACCCCATCTAGGGCCCTTCTCTAGTGCCCTCTAGGAGAAACCCCAGATCCAGAGGTAAGCAGAGAGGGGTTGTAAATGTTACAACCAGGAGCTCAGACCTGGCTTCTCCCAAGGTGGAGTCCCAGGCATGCCCTGAGGCTTGGATGTTGCTAGGACCACCCAGAAGGAAGCAACCATCTTGTCCCACTCTTCCACCCTCCTTTACAGGGAGGGTGGCAAGCTGAGTACCCCCATGGACTCTGCCAACTTTAGGGAGATGATTTTAGTTGGAAGAAGGGTCAGAAACACTATGCCATTGCCCTCCCCCCCCCCAACTTCACCTCTCCTAGGCCCCAGGGACCTACCTCTTCTCTATCAGCTTCCTCCCGGGCCATCTACTCTTCTCCCACTGAGCTTAGCATGGGGAAGGGCAGCTTTGGGAGCAGAAGGTCCGCCCTACCCTGAGTCTTTGAGGCTGTGACTCCGGGGAATGTGGGATTGGGGTCTTCTCCCTCCCTGACCCCCTATCAGCCCACTGGGTGATTGCTTACCCTCCTGGCCAGGTAATGCTAGGTGAGTCTGCATACCCCACCTTTGACTCAGGCAAGTCAATGTTCCTTGTTCCAACTCCAGCATAGCCAGCTGCTCCACAATTATTTCTGCCTTAAATTTAGACCCATCTGTTATCTATAGGGGGTGGGGGTGCCAGCGAAGGAGGAAGAGAGGCTCCTTGAAAGGCAACACAAGAGGGGGTGAGGCTGCAGCTGTTGCTGTGGCCCTAGCCCACACTGGGAGGCAGGCAGAGTCTTAGCTAGCAGAAGAGGGGAGACCCAGGGTCTGCCCGCTGACCCCTGTTAAGCCCCCTATGTGGGAGGCTGAGCCTGAGTATCAGGCAGTGAAGGAGCCTACCCCTTCTACCTCCCCAGAGACGAAGGAGGAGCTGGAAGAACTCATGTCCGACATAAAGAAGACAGCAAACAAAGTTCGTTCAAAGTTAAAGAGTAAGTCAGGCTCACAGCCTTTTTTGGGGGGGTTGTTAGCGGGGCCTCTAGCCCTGCTTGCTTATTTAGCCCATAGGTTAAATGAGCATTTACCCCTGAGGGTTACACTGCATCTTGCTTTCCTTTATGAAGGCGGCAGAAACCTGTTTACTCAGCAGCTACTTGGCAAGGCTCATTTGTGCCATGCTCTGACTAGGCCTAGGGGCACAGATAGCTGAAGCTTTTTGTCAAGGGAGTGCTCCACTCTGGCCACTGTTCCTCACTTTGGATCAAGAGGGTTTAAGAAGTGGCCGACAACTCCTGGTCTCACACAAAAGCCCCTGTATGTGTTCATGTGGCTCAGTGAGTAGGGCACCCGCCCCATATACCAAGGGTGGCAGGTTCAAACCTGGCCCCAGCCAAACTGCAACAAAAAAGCCAGGTGTTGTGGCGGGCGCCTGTAATCCCAGCTACTTGGGAGGCTGAGGCAAGAGAATTGCCTAAGCCCAGGAGTTCGAGGTTGCTGTGAGAATGCCATGGCACTCTACCGAGGGTGAAAAGTGAGACTCTATGTCAAAAAAAGAAAAAAACCAAAAACAGACATTCATACCCCATGAATGCTAAGGTCTCAGGCCACATGCCCTGCAGGTTGTGGCCTCTTGGCCCTCCCAACAGCCTCTTGTGCATGGCCTCTAAATACAGAGGCATAGGGTGACCTGAGTCACCAGACCTCACATACAGTAGTTGCTGACACCCACAGCTCGGGCTGTGCTTGAGGCCTCACAGATGGTTGTGTACCCACACATGTACACACACACTTCTCAGCTGGGAGGGCCTTTGTGAGCCCCTCCTTCCATAAGTGCCTTGTGCTTCCATGATCTCACCTATTGGCCCCCCAGGGGAGGTCAGGAGTAGGATTTGAGTGTGTGACAAGGGGCAAAGGGGGCAGCCTGTGACTCAGCAGCCATCTGTTCCCCCAGGCATCGAGCAGAGCATCGAGCAGGAGGAAGGCCTGAATCGCTCCTCAGCGGACTTGAGGATCCGGAAAACACAGGTGCAGGCCAGGGTCTCGGGTGGGCAAGCACCTGTGTCTTTGGGTCTCCCTGAGGCCTGACATCTGCACCCCCATCTCGGACCCTCAGCACTCCACGCTGTCCCGTAAGTTTGTGGAGGTCATGTCAGAGTACAATGCAACGCAGTCTGATTACCGTGAGCGCTGCAAGGGCCGCATTCAGAGGCAGCTGGAGATCAGTGAGCTGAGGGGAGGGCCCAGGGCTGGGGGGCGGAGGTGGAGCTGTAGGTGCGGGTGGAGACGGGGGCGGGACTCAGGGCTAGAGGGGCGGGGCCCAAAACTAGAACAGAGTGGGGCTGGGGGCGGAGGTGGAGCGGGGTCTGGCCTCTGGGCTAGAGGGGCGGGGTCCAGGCTTTGTGTGGTGGTGAGGCTCTGGGCTGGTGCTGAGGGTCAGGCTCAGTGTAACCCCACTCGCAGCTGGCCGGACCACAACAAGTGAGGAGCTGGAGGCTATGCTGGGGGGTGGAACCCCTGCCATTTTTGCCTCTGGGGTAAGTGCAGGCCGGCCCCATCCCTGCCACCTTGATCTACCTACCATGACACCTATTGTGCTGGCAAAGTGCTGGGTCTGGGCAGTATTTGGACACAGACCCCTTATAAGGCAGGTTTTAAAGAACGGACCAAATCCTAGAGAAGAGAAGGGACCAGCTGAAGTAATAAGTAACATGAATGTTAGTGGCAAAAGTGAAATCAGAACCACTGTCTCCTCCTACCTCCCATCTGTGTCTACTTCCTTCCTGCCCTTGACCACTCGCCAATGGCCAGGGGCCCCTCCCGTCATCCTTGGGACCTTTTCCTTGATGTGGAGGACCTTTGTCACCTCTATATTCAAGTGAAAGTCAGTGCTGTGCCAGACAGTCGTGCTTCCCAAGAGGTGGTATGAAAGTGTGGAAGACAGCTTGGGGATGTGGGTTCCAGGAGAGAGAGGAAGGGATGGGAGAATAGCAGTTCCATGCCTGGGTCCCTGGGGCCATCACCTTGGGCTCTGCAAGATGCTGGTGATAAGAGCTATCACTTAATGACCACTTACTATGTGGCCAGCACAGGTGGGGAGTGTTATTAGCCACATATTACAGGCAGGAAATTTGTCACAGAGAAATTAGGTAGCAGCTGGCAGGTGGTAGAGCCAAGCAGTGAGGTGGCCAAGGCTGTGGCTAGGAAGAAGCCACTGGCTCCCACAGCATCTCTGCCCATCCCAGCTGCCCTCCTACATGGCCTTCTGCCTGCCCCCTCAGCTCTGGGTCCAATCCCCACTCTCTAGATCATTATGGACTCCAGCATCTCGAAGCAGGCTCTGAGCGAGATTGAGACAAGGCACAGTGAGATCATCAAGCTGGAGAATAGCATCCGTGAGCTGCATGACATGTTCATGGACATGGCCATGCTTGTTGAGAGCCAGGTGAGCGGCCAGGTCCCCATAGCCCCAGCCTGCAGCAACATGCAGGGCTGCACTAACTCCTACCCTTTCTGCCTGACATGCTGACCTGTCTGGGAGGGGCCAAGTCCTCAGGTAACCAAGCATCTGCTGCTGAAGTTGCTGCCAGGGCTCTGCCTGCTGGAAGGACCCTCTTCTCTGCATGGCTCTGCATGGCCCCACCCAGCCCTGCCCAGCCCTGCCCTGTCTTATTCACCAACTGCCTAGCATGAGGCATGTGGACCAGGCACTTTCCTAGGAGGTAGAGGGCTAGCAGTGACCAGGACAGCTGAGGAGCCTGCTTCCTGGAGCAAATGGCTATTAGGTGAAAAGACTGAAAGAACAAATGGAATGTTCTCCAGTGGTACCAGATGCTCAGGAGACATTACAAGGAGGCAATGTGATAAAACAGTGGTGCTTAATCTTGAAAACTGCCTAGGAATTACCTGGAGAGCTTATTGTAAGTTTCTGGGTCGCCATTCCCAGAGATTGATAGGTTGAGGTAGGAGCCCAGGAGCATACATCAGATAAGCTCAAGGGTGATGCCAATGCTGCTGGTCTGAGAACCACTTGCAGTCATACTGTGATAGGGGACAGCACTTTGGAGGGAGTGGTCAAGGTAGGCCTTTCTTAGGAGGGGGTATCTGAGCTGATACCAGAAAAGATGGAAAGGAACCAGCTATAAAGACTTCCCAGGGAAGGCTAAAAAGCTGACCCCAGGCAGAGAGACCAGTAATGCCAAGGTCCTGAGCCTGGCAAGAGCTGGACTTAACTTGAGGAGCAGAAAGGAGGCCTGTGGGGCTAGAGCACAGCTAGTGGTCACAGCTGAGATGAAGCTGGAGACACATGGACAGGGCCTTAACAGGCAGTCCTGGGGCATATGGGGTTTCTTCTAAACTACAGGGTTGTTTTTTTTTTCTTTTGAAAATAATTTAATTAATGATTTTTTAAAATTAAACTGTAAACACATAGATCATGTATATATTAATGCATTTATGGGTACAATGTGCTGATTTTATATAGAATTAGGAACATTTACATCACACTGGTTAATATATACCTCATCTCATTTACTTAATTATTGTGTTAAGATATTTATACTCGGGGGCGGCACCTGTGGCTCAAGGGAATGGGGTGCTGGCCCCGTATACCAGAGGTGGCAGGTTCAAACCTGGCCTTGGCCAAAAAAAACTGGAAAAAAAAAAAGATGTTTATACTCTATACTAATAGATCAGACATGTACCCTTGCATTATGTACCATAGGTGTGATCCCACCATTCACCCTCCCTCAATCTGACCTCCCCACTCCCTTCCCATCCCCCTCTCCTCCCTCCTTCATCTTGGGCCATAGTTTTTTGGGGGTTTAGAGAAAGTCTTGGTTTGTTGCCCTCAGTGGAGTGCTGTGGCATCACAACTCACAGCAACCTCCAGCTCTT